TTCTATTAATTAATAACCATTAAAAAATAAATTCATATATATATATATACATATATTAATTTAAAAAAAATTATTTAATCAAATAAATTTTTTTTTGTAGTTACTTTATTGATGGTGATGAATTCAGAACAAATTTTTCTTCTCCTGCAACTAAATACATTTTACGTTGTGTTTCTTTTTCATTACTGTAATCACTTTTTCTATCATTATATTGATAATCACAATCATCAATATGCGACTCATCTTTATTCGTAATTCCTATTTGCTTGTTTTCTGTATATTTTTCATTTGAATTTGTAAACTTGATGTTATTTAACTTTTTGCATTTACATTTAGATTCACTTTTATAAATTTGATCAAGCTTATTATTATCGTAATTATTGTTTTCATCAAAACTCTCCTCATAATCCATTGGTGCACCTTCATTTTGTTCAATATTATATTGATTGGAATTGTCAAAGTGCTCCATTGATGTCTCTTTAACATTATGATAATGTAAATCATCATTTTCTATTTCATGTAATGTTTGTTCGATGCTTATAAATGTTTCATTTGATTTTGGAATAATTTTTTTACAGGTCATTGCACAATTTTCATGAATGGGATTGTTTTCTTTTTTATTAGGTTTCATCGTTCTGTATTAAAAAAACATATAAGCAACGTTAAATATTGACATTTCTACAGTTATAAAAATAGAAGGATTATATAAAAAAAAGTCCACTTAATACTAATAAAGAAAGAATATGAAATATATTTTTTTAATTCATGAGCTATTTTTAATAAAATTGTATTTGCCAATCGCAAAATAAAAAAGAAGCTATTTAGTTTTCCAAAAATGTTATTGATGTTATTTATTTCAAATATAAATGTTTATGTATTGCATTGATTTATGATAAAATTAGTATTTTACATATTATGACATACATTTTTTTTTAATTATTCACAAAAATGTGTATTATTTGGAAAATTTTTAATAATAATAATCCAGTAAATAAACTCAAGTTATTGAAAATAAATTTTACCTTAATTGTCGTTGATAATCTATGTTTTTTACTAAATCATTGTGTGACAAATCTGGTTGACTTCGTATGCGGGGACAGGTATCATTTATTTGTGGTGTTACACGTATTTCCATAGTACTTGTCGAAGTCTCTAAAGGATACCTGTAGAATTGCACATGGTTATTCCATTTAATACGACATGATTTTGATGATATAAAATTGTTATTTACATTCAAGTCTTGCCTTTGTTATCAAAAAAAAAAAAAATGTATATATATTCAAAATAAAATGCTTAAAAAATTAATGAAAATTAAAAATTTTTAATTAATGTACTTGAATTTTCCACTACTTCTATCTATATGAGGTTCTTTGGAATTTGAAATATTAAATAAACTTTCATTAGGGTTTTTATTTGTTTTAACATTATCTGTCTGAGTTTTTCTATCGTCCCACATCAAAAACTTAGTAATTTGTTCTGCTAAATTTTCCTTTTGGCCCGAATTTGATGAAATATTAGATTTTATAAATGGAGAATTAGTAATCGAGTTGAACGATGAATATGTTTCTTGAGATTCCAATGTCTTCCAGTTTGTCTGCAATTCAGCTGTTGAGTTATCAGTGATTTGAATATCATTAGCGACCCACGTAGATTTATCTTCGTATATCCTAAACACATTTTGGGTATTTATTTCTTTGGATTCTGGTTTCATTATAATGATTCCTCGAAATTTTAAATCTTTATATTCATCCGCACTTGAACCTGTTTTCGTTTTGTTAGATATTTTTTCTTGTCCGTTCATTCTAACTTAAATTTTGTTAAGTCAAACTAATGTTAAAAAATTTGTAAAAGGAAATTAAAATTTATAAAGTAAAATTAAATAATAAATTTTGAAAGATACAATAGTATTGTATCTAGAGTTCATATGTTTATTATTTTCCATACATCTAAATATTTAGTTGCTACGTTATTAGAACTAATATAAATATTTACTACAATAATATACAAAAAAATGGAAATACTATATTATAATCAGATTCAGAATTTTTTAGCTTAATAAATTTCATATGTGTCACAAAAAGCTAGTGTTATAGAAATATTTTTTTTTAGGAATAGTAAAATCATTTAACTCAAACCCATTTGCTAATAAAAATAAAATACTAGATTACTTATTTCAGCACTATGTCAGACAGAATTAATATACATTAATTATTTTCTAATCGAAATCTCACAATTATCATTTTGTAAAATATGTAAATAGATGACTCCAAATTACCATATTTCTTTTTAAACATATTTTCAATCAATCATTATCCAATGAATAACAATTTCACTAATGTAAACTATTTTAATAAGTTATATC